TACAACATATACTAGAAATAAAAATTACATCCAGATTCATAGACCACCTAGCGACGACTACAAGCACCGAAGCGGGCTGATATGTCCATTTTGCATCATGCTTTTATATCAATGTTTATTGCATTATGGGCTGTTATTACACAATATATCTCAATACTTATGGCTATTCTCTCTTATTTTACAAGGTTCACCATGAAGAGGGGGAATGCCGACAGTTGGAATTCTGGCTGGAAAAGGAGCAAACGTTGGAAACCTATTCTGCACAACTCCAAAAGTCCTAAAACTCCATGAAATAACTTTTTGGAATTTATAAGAATTTCTGAGCGAAAGAAATAGGCCAAGGGGCCCACAGCCTGTCCAGGAGACAAGGGGCGCGCCCCCTATCTCCTGGGCCCCCTCGCGGGCCTCCGGCCTCCATCTTCTGCTATATCATCACTTTTACCCTAGAAAAAATCCTGGGCAAGCTTACAGGACGAAACTCCGCCGCCACGAGGCGGAACCTTGGCGGAACCAATCTAGGGCTCTGACAGAGCTGTTCTGCCGGGGACACTTCCCTCCGGGAGGGAGAAATCATCACCAACGTCATCACCAACGATCCTCTCATCGGGAGGGGGTCGATCTCCACCAACATCTTCACCAGCACCATCTCCTCTCAAACCCTAGTTCATCTCTTGTATCCAATCTTGTATCCAAAATCACAAATTGGTACCTGTGGGTTGCTAGTAGTGTTGATTACTCCTTGTAGTTGATACTTATTGGTTTACTTGGTGGAAGATCATATGTTCAGATCCTTCATGCATATTATTACACCTCTGATTATGAACATGAATATACTTTGTGAGTAGTTACTTTAGTTCCTGAGGACATGGGTGAAGTCTTTCTATTAGTAGTCATGTGAATTTGGTATTCGTTCGATATTTTGATGAGATGAATGGTGTCTTCTCCTCTAGTGGTGTCATGTGAACGTCGACTACATGACACTTCACCATTATTGGGCCTAGAGGAGGGCATAGGGAAGTAATAAGTAGATGATGGGTTGCTAGAGTGACAGAAGCTTAAACCCTAGTTTATGCGTTGCTTCGTTAGGGGCTGATTTTGGATCCACATGTTTCATGTTATGGTTAGGTTTACCTTAATACTTTTGTTGTAGTTGCGGATGCTTGCAATAGGGGTTAATCATAAGTGGGATGCTTGTCCAAGTAAGGGCAGTATCCAAGCACCGGTCCATCCATATATCAAATTATCAAAGTACCGAACGCGAATCATATGAGTGTGATGAAAACTAGCTTGACGATAATTCCCAATGTGTCCTCGGGAGCTCCTTTACTATTATTAGAAATTGTCCAGGCTTATCATTTGCTACATAAAGGGATGTGCCACCTTGCTGCATCTTTTTTTACTTTGTTTACTTGTTACTCGTTACTATTTATCTTATCACAAAACTATCTATCACCTACAATTTCAGTGCTTGCAGAAAACCTTATTGAAAACCGCTTATCATTTCCTTCTGCTCCTCGTTGGGTTCGACAATCTTACTTATCGAAAGGACTACGATAGATCCCCTAGACTTGTGGGTCATCACGGGCCGAAGGCGCGCCGCCGTCATCGCCCCTCCATCGCCGGAGCCGGACACAACTTGTTGTAGTAGACAGTCGGGAAGTCGTCATGCTAAGGCCCCATAGGACCAGCACCCCAGAATAGCAACCGTCGCTGATGAAAAATAACGTAGATCGAAAGGATCCAAAGCGAAGACACACGAATGCTCTAAGTGTTCTTCCTTAGTTGTTTTGCCAAGCTTTTATTTTGTCTTGAGCTTTTTTGACTTGTGTCTTGGCCAAGCTGGGTCGCCCTACTCTACGCTTGTCTGCAGTTTGGATGAGTTGTCAAACATGGGCGCTCTTTTGTTGCAAACGCAGTCCTGATGGATGTCGAGGAGTTAAGGCCGAAGGCCCTACTCTACGCTTGTCAACGTGGGTGCTCCTATGCTGCTGTTTTATTAGGACGTACATGCGACTAGAATAGAGCAAAGAAATAGCTGCTGCCAGCCGTAAGGCCTTCCCGTCAAAAAAAGAAAAAGAAAAAAAAAGAAATAGCTGCTGCCATCTTTTGTACTTGGGTCCGATTTGTAAACTGAGAACTACTAAGGATTAAGAAGAAATATTGATTGCAATTGTTCTGTGCCATGAAATATTGGGAAAAAATTATTCGCATCATCGATTCGCTCTTTTCGTCTCATCACATCTACACCATTGACATCCATAGGGTTTGCAACTAAAAACGGGGCCGAGGTCGAGGCAGGGATAGTGGGCCTTTAGCGTTGCCCATGCTTAGCGAGCGTCTTCTCGGTCTTTGAAGACTTCAACTTCATTATCTGGGGCGGGGCGCGCTGGAGTCGGATTGCTAAGTCGAAGAAGTTGGCCGGAACGTCATCCCTGGGCCACAATGTCATAAATATCTCTTCCATTGTCCGCTTGATCAGATTGAGCAGCTCGCCGATTTGCTTCAGTCTGTCGGGGAGAAGGTCAAGCCGGCTGGTTTCTTGGAACTGCGCCCAGAAAGCCCGGAGCACCTCCTGCTCAGGATCATTGAGCCCTTGATAGTACTTGTGGGCGCTCGCAGCACTCTGGGGCAGGCCGGCGAAGATCTCTGCGTGGTGCCAAACTTGAGTTAGCGCGGCATAGCTGTTGCTTCCAAATCGGCATTGGAGAAGATATGGTTCACCATCGACAATCTGCTTGGCTTGCTCTACTTCGTCTCGAGCATTGCGGCGGACGAGGTTGGATTCCTTCAGACTATACTCGAGCAGTTTAATTTGGTCACCCAGCCTGGTCTTCTCGGCCTTCAGCTGGTCGCACTCAGCCTGGCTCTTCTTGAGCTCCTGCTGAAGTAGGCCAGATGCATCCCGGGCCGCCTGGCATGCCTCTTGTTCTTGCACAAGTTTGGCAGTAGTCTTTTGGGCCTCTTTTTGGATGTCCTGGAGCTGTTGGTTGCTGGAATTGAGCTGGTTCCTCAACTCGGTCATACGCCTTTCAAGTACTGTACTCAAGTTTGGAGGTGGTCAGCACAACTGTTGCAAATATGCAAGTTATGAAAGGAGTTGCAATAGGAATAGTCGAGCTTACCCATGGAGTCACTAAGACTTTTGGAGAGATTTTCATTCTTCTGCTCGGCTTCGCCGAGCAGAGTCTTGAGCCGGACTATTTCCTTCTCCAAACGCTCGTTGTCCCGAGCTGCAGCCTGTGCAAAAAAAAAAAAATCCAAGTTACAAGAAGGTATCATGGATAAGGGCTCCTGCTAAAAGAATTTGATCCCCAGGCCGACCTTCATAGCCCGACATGAGTCTTACGAGTTACTCTAAGAAAATTCAATCATAAGGTCGGTTTGCTAAACCAACCTAAGTCTCGTGGGCCAGCCCTCCAGCCTAGTCTGAGTTATGGGGGCTATTGGATCGCTGATTTTGACTAAGCAAAGCTATTCCCGAGGAGATTTTGATCCCCAGGGCCAACAATCTGCTCGGCCTGCGTCTCGGGGGCTACTGCACCTGTGTTTTATCTTGGTCGAAATTAAGACAAACTACAACCCAGTTTGTGTTAAACCGGACTCCAGCTCGGGGGCTAGCATGCACGAAAGTGCTAAGTTGAGCTACATGACTCATGGTGCAGACCGGATTTAGTGTTGGTCCGCACCTTGAGAGCTACTGGCTATACATCTATGTAGAAATTAGATGCATAAGTAAAATTACCTCCATGCCGGGAGCAAAGGCGTCCGTCATCCGTATAACGCCGAGCTACATCTCATGGGCCTTCTCCTTTAGGTACTTCAACGCGTCTCGTTGGGCCTCATTCAGGTAATGGTTGACCCCAGATATCTCTACTTCCCGACGCCCCAATACAGGCGCAACTTCTGAACCATTAACGGACATCTCGCCAGGAGGCCACTGGGCCAGGACCACATTGCCCGACGTGCTGGGGCCAGACAATCGCAGGGTCATGTCATCTCCAATGACTATGTCGACTAGTGGCCCTTGGCGCAAGGTCGGGGCAACGGCTGACGGTAGCGGCGGCGGTGCTTGGAGCTCTTGAGTTGATGGAGCCGGGGAGTTAACCACCTCGACATTTTCTTTAGGGCCGATCTCCCGGTTGTCAGATCCAGGAGCCTGGGGCTGGCCTTGTTCGCCCGCGGTAGCTGCAGGCAGGCTTCTTGATGTGGCACCTCCAGATGGCGTCGCTTTCGACATCGACTAGATCTTTCAGAGTATAGTGTTGTGGACTTGCGCTCTGTTTCTAAGGTAGGACATGTGCAAGACGGTATATATAGCCATCAACCAGGGGCTATTGAAGGATAATATTAATTACATCCAATAAATTTGAAAAAGGAAAGTCACTAATGCATACCATAAACGCCATTTTATTTATATTGACAGTGCAACACATACTACAAACCATGCATGTGCAATTTATTATAAGATTTGGCAGGGGTACAATTATAGTATATGTTGAATGCCACATTTAATATTACCTTTTTTTTTGGCTTTCCACTATCTGGCTCATAATCACCTACCATATGCAAAGGATTCTACACGTTGCGGAGAGGCTGAACCTGCAGCTCATTTTTTCGTCACGAGAAAACGAGGCGCAAAGACGCAGAATGCCATGAAACAAGTAAAAATATCGAAAACATTTGGCGCTTTCAGTGTGTCACGCTTAATTTGCCACAGACTTTTTTTTGTTGCGGTTTTGGCGCGGCTTATTGGAAAGAAAAAACTGTGGATGATTCCTGACCTAGTTCTGTATGTTGTTTAAAAACTGTTTTGAAATTCAGAAAATTCGAAACCCTAGTTCTTGGGCTGGTTGCTAGGGTAAGACGGGCTGTGTATGCAAGCCCAACAAGCAAAACGGGCTGAATGTGCGTATGTAAGCCCAACGTGAAATGGTTGGGCCTTCCTTATCCATCGTCCCACCCACCCTCTCTGGCTCTCTCCCTCCTCCACTCTCTCCTCGATGTCGGCAGTCGCGGCGCACCGAGCCTCTCCGGCCATGTGGTCCCCGCAGCCTCCGCCGCCCCGCCTCCAGCTCCGGCGGCCTGCGCCGATTCCCCCTCACTCCTCGCGGCGCGGCCGCGGCCTCAGCCGCATGGCCGCATCGCAGGAGGACCCGCTGACCGCGCTGACCCGCGTGCTGTGGGGCCGCGCGCTGCCGCCGTCGCAGCTCGTGCTCGCCGTCCGCCACGGCTGGACCTCGGCGTGGCGGCTCCTCATGCGCCAGCTCGCGCCCTCAGACCCGGCCACGGGCGCCTTCACCCGCACCCCGTCCCGCTTCCCGTCCGTCGCGCCGCCCGCGCCCGGCCCCGGCGCGCGCCTCCACCTCTACGTCGGCCTCCCCTGCCCCTGGGCGCACCGCGCGCTCCTCGTCCGGGCCCTCCTCGGCCTGGGGCCCCGCCTCCCCGTCTCCGTCGCCGTCCCGGGCGACGACGGCGCGTGGTCCTTCACGCCGGAGAGCCCCGACGCGCTCTACGGCTCCCGCAGGCTCCGGGACGTGTACGCCGCCCGGCGCGGCGGGTTCGAGGGCCGGGCGTCCGTGCCCATGCTCTGGGACGCCGGCCGCCGCGAGGTGGTCTGCAACGAGAGCATCGAGATCGCCAAGTTCCTCTGCACGCTCGCCGCTTCCGGCGCCGGCGCCGGAGGCCTCGACCTCTGGCCGCCGGAGCACCGCCAGGAGATCGACCGCTGGTACGGCGTCATCTACCCGAGCGTCAACAACGGCGTGTACCGGTGCGGGTTCGCGCAGAGCCAGGCGGCCTACGACGCGGCGGCGGCCGAGCTGTTCGCCGCGCTGGACATGCTCGAGGGCCACCTCTCCGGGTCCCGGTACCTGTGCGCCGGCGCCGGCGTGACGCTGGCCGATGTCTGCCTCTTCACCACGCTCATACGGTTCGACCTGGTGTACAACCCGCTGTTCCGGTGCAGCCGGAGGAAGCTGGTGGAGTACCCCAGCCTCCACGCCTACATGCGGGAGATCTACCAGCTGCCCGGCGCCGCCGAGACCTGTGACATGGCCGCCATCGCCGACGGGTACTTCGGGACGCTCTTCCCGCTCAACCCCGGCGGGATCCTGCCCGTCGTGCCGGCGAGCTGCAGCCGGGAAGCCCTCATGAAACCTCATGGCAGAGAGGCATTGCCTTCTTCTTCTGCTGCTGCTGATGATGGTAGGCAGCTAGGAGCAGCTGCTAGTGTTGTTGGCTAGGATTTACAGAGTGTAGCTGAATTGTGTAGCACATCAAATTACTTACAGTATAATACTGTACCTTGGTACATATAGAGGATGAAATAAATGGCAGAATATTACTGTGACAAAGAGTTTCATGCCATATAAATGCTTTATTACCGATATATATTCTGTTGGTCGAAAGACCGATACATTGACAACAATGTAAGGAAGATTCAAGAACCTTCTACTAGTAAGTATTGTGTATAGCATACTGCTCTCATACATTTGCATCCATTCATGATGCTTCAAAGGCAGTCAGAACCATTCATGATAATCGAAGCTTGTCGCTGATACTTCAGATTTTATCATAACATTGAAGCCCAAGGCGGCACAGTCCATGCTCGACGGTCGTTCCGAAAGGCTTGCAACTGTGAAGTGATAAAATGGAAGTTGTTAGAACCAAGGATTCTCACTGTGGAGTGTATATACAAACATGCATCTGGAAAATACTAGTAGAAAATATCAAAAGACTGCTGGGTAGAGGTAAATATTACCATTGTCATGATCTGGTATCACTCTCTCCAGTTTCCATGTACAGTCTGTGCTCTCTAATGTACTCGATTACTTCGTCGCAAGTAAGATACTTTATTGAGAGATGTTTTCTTATACACTCTCTGCAATTTGATAAGAAAAGAAACAGAATCAACATCCCAACATCAAAACAAAGTGAAATTTGAAGGTGGTAATCTTATCTGATCATACAGAAAGCGGAGTAGATGAAATGATGCACCTTACTCTGGATGAACTGATCTGATTTGGCACAATCTCATCAACCGAAATGATGTTATCCTGAAAATTACACACAGGGATATATACATGTGAGCAAATCATCATGGTCCATCGGTGTAGTAAGCTCCTCAAGCTAGAAGTTTCTCACCCTGCATTCTTGCAGTGTCTCGCTGCTGGATATTAGCTTTTGAACATCTTTTCCTTCCCTACGAATACAGACAACACCAAAGTCTTTACATATGGCCCTGACCTGGAAACAAAAAAGGTTGTGCATCAAAGTTACTTCTTCGATAAGGGCGATTCGAACAAAAACTTTGTATGTCAAATAAGTGGTGCATAAATTTTGTATGTCAAATTATGGGTACCAAAAAATGTTCATGTTTTGAGGTACCTGATCTGGAATCCAAACCCCTGGCGTGCTGAATGACTCGAGAAGGTCAGAACCACACAAAAGCATTACCTTGACACCACCTGAGAGAAAATGCATGTTGTAAACGACTGATTTATGTACAGGGTAAATTTACAGATACATTTGAATGATCCAACAGTGTGAGAGAAGGCATTACTGTATTGCAACAAAAAATCTTGCCATATACCTTGATCAGCTAAGCCGTCCTTGCACAGAGAGTTCTTAACTCGAGATAGAACGGTCAAGGTGCGCTGATAACCTTTCTGCATTGCCTGTATCAAAAACACAGAAAACGTGTAAGTAAGTGAAACACAACATTATCCAAACTGTAAATATCTTATGTTACAACTCCAAAACCCAATGGCACACATCAACTAACATGAAGAAAAAGAAAATCAGGTTACCTCCCAGGGATCAACCATCAGGAAAGACGAGCTTCGACACGCCAATTCGCAGAGGCGAACCCGGTGAGCAGCCGGCAAGAGGTCCTGGCCAGCCCCAAATTGCGGATTTCAGTCACGAGAAACGCGTCAACCAACACAAACCGATACACATTTCAAGTTCCAAATAGTACCTTCTTCTTGTACGCGTCGTTCACCGGGGACATGTATGCACCCAGCACCGAGTACCCTCGCTGCTGCAGCTCGTCCTTTGCCAGCTCTGTATGAATTTAACACATGAAAAGATGGGGTAAGAGGTCAGCTTTGCACTTTACTGATCCCATTCTTAGGCTGTTCTTGAGACTTACTAGTACTAAACACAGTAACACACTGAATCACTGATAGATGCAGCAGATTAGCAAGTGTCGATTGAGGCTTACCGAACATGCGCAGGTGCATGTAGGTGGGAGGATTGAAGCTCCCGGTGGCCACCAGCACAACGGCACCTCGGCTTCCCCCATCCCTGCCGTCATCCAGATGAATCAAGAAACGAATGGCGGATTAGTGTAGGGATGCATCAAGCAACTGAAGAAATCCGAGAGCAGATTCTTTTCTTTGTGCTTACCGATTTGGATCCACGGAGAGCTTTTCCGTGGGGACCCCCTCCATGGCCGCCCTCTGCAAATCCTCAGCCGAGCCGAGCCGACCTCTCGCTGCGGTTCTCTCTTCCTGGGGCGCGCCGACGGCGGGAGGCCGGCGATCCGGCCGGCGTGCGCCGGGAGCAGATTCCCTAGTAGGAGTTTTTTTTTTCTTTCAGAATGATGGACTCTGTGTGCCCGTGTGTGGGCATCGCGAAATGGGTCTTGTTGGGCCGCCGTAGCCATGCCCAGGAGGCCCGCTAGAATAATACAGTAACAAACAGGTCCACGGAGAGAGATATAGCCTGTCAAGCGGGCCGGGCCCAGGCGGCCTTGGGCAGCTCTATAAAGCCTCCGCCTCGAGCCGCTAGGTTTTGGTGCTCTCTTCTTCCTCCTCTCCTCTTCCCTCGGCGGCGGCGCAGGCGGCGCGGAGGCGACAGGCGAAGGCGAAATGGTGAGTTGCTCCGGCGGAAGCCTCCTCCCTCGGCGGCGCTCCTTCTCGTCTAGATAGATCTGGGGTCCTGACTGTTCCTTTGCTGTTGTTGTTGTCGCGCAGACGAAGGGAACGGGCAGCTTCGGCAAGCGCCGGAACAAGACCCACACGCTGTGCATCCGCTGCGGCCGCCGCAGCTTCCACCTGCAGAAGAGCACCTGCTCCTCGTGCGGCTACCCCGCCGCCCGCATCCGCAAGTGTAAGTCCCGCCCCCAGATCCCTCGGGCATACTCTGCTCATATGCGGCTGCGTCCCTTCAAAGATGTCTCTTTTAGCTAGCTATAGATGCGGCGCTTGGTTCTGGCCCGCGCGAGGCCGTGATTGCTTAGGGTTTTAGATGCTGTTGTGGTAGCCCAATCGCCGTTGCCTCGAGTCGCATGCTAGCTCTGTTGCCGTGATGTGCCATGATCTTTGAGTAGCTCATGCTTGGTCTGATGTGTTTAGCTTTTGATCGCAAGCATGATAGTTTGAACTTTGAAGATCCCTTGATAAAAAGCATGATAGTTTGAAGATGCTAAAGTTGACTGTGAAATTGAACTGTGGTTCATGTTACATGCTCTGTTAACCCTGGCGGAGTTGCTGGAATTAGGGATATTAGTAAGGTGGATTACTTGGTTGTCTGTTCTCATGCCCCTCTATGTTTACTGTTGATCACAAAAATCGGGTGTTGATCCTGTTATAGGTTGCTTGCGTTTGCACCAGTCTTTAGTGGTTAGGTTTGATTTAGTGCAGGGTAGTTGGATTGATTGTCATGGTGCTCTTGATGTCTTTCTGTAATTTGGAGCATAGCTCTCACATTTTGCTGTTGATGAAAGCAAGTGTTTTAAGTTTTCTTCTTCATCTGATGAGAAATTCTTCCTTGAAAAACAGACAACTGGAGTGTGAAGGCCATCAGGAGGAAGACCACCGGCACCGGGAGGATGAGGTACATGCGCCATGTGCCCAGGAGGTTCAAGAGCAACTTCAGAGAGGGTATACTTCTCTTCTCTCTTTTAGTCCTGTTAAAATGTGTCAGCATATCCACCCATGATGAGCTCTGTTGTGCTAAACTGCAATCATGTGAATGTGTTCTGCAGGAACTGAGGCCGCACCAAGGAGCAAGGGAGCCTCTTCCAGCGGCAACTAGGCGCGGCGGCCTTAACTTGTTACGCTAGGCGGAGCCCTGATCATCAAACTTAGCTTTTTTGTTGCTTTCTACTGGAACTCTATGTTTCTATGTTGAGAGGCGGACGATATGATGCCTGGTTATGTTATTTGCACAATTATCGTGGACGTTAATCCTTCAGTTTTGAATGTTAATTGTGTCGATGTCCTGTGTTAGATGCTCTGCATCTCTTGTTCAATGCGCTATTTGTGATGAGGCTTTTTGTTATTTCAATCTGAGTGTGTTGATCAAGTTGTGATGCACTTGTGTTCATTGTGTTTGTCTGTCCAGCGACAGCTTAGATATGCAGCTATCAACATGGGTTAACACTTGAAAATTATTTTTTTGATATACTTGTTTGTATAGCATCTCTGAAGAATATGACCCATGGCTTGGAAAACAAAAATAACAGACTCAACACTAAAAATGTCAGTCGGCCAAACTTATCGTCAGATCAGGACCCTCTGTAGCTCTCTATACTGCCTCGCTAGGGTTGTACAAGTGGTGGTTTCTGCTGCATAGATGCCAATCAGGCTTCCGACTTTTTAGCTAACATTATTTTAGGTCTAGGGCGCAACCCCTTTCCATTACTTATCATAACGGAAATACAAAGTTCAGATCACAACTGGGAAATGACCTCCTACCACACAAAAAGGAAACAGGAAAGGGAGCGCGAGTTGAAAGCATCACTGGGAAACCCACCATCATCGAGCAGCCCGTTGCGGGGCGAAAATCCAATGACACCCAACTCCTAACTAAAGCCACCAATAGCAAAAGGATCGACAGCAACAACATCAAGTTTACGAAAAGGCTCACAACTGAGCAGGCGTACACTTGCACAGGAGTGAAAGTAAAGCGCAACTAAAAGGCCTCCGATCGGGCCAGAAAGCAGGGCTCAGTCACCATCGAAGGCAGCTTCAATCCATTGTTGCCTTGACTGGAGCAGCACAAATCCTCATCATCGCAGAAGCATTCGAGTTGAGCATCTTGGCACCACGCTTCATAGCCTCACCCGTCATCAAGCCTGCCCAATACGTCAAAAAGCCACAAGCAGAATATACCACATTAAACGGAGTTTTGAGTTGCTTATGTTCAAACGTAGCCTGGTTGCGACTATTCCAAATGGCCCAACATATAGCCGTCAGGCCAAAGGTATAGAACCTGACTCCATCAGGTAGAAACACATAACACCAGGAGAAGTATATATTGCCATATGTTATTAGGACATAAGTGTGTGCCCAGCACACAGCCAACCGTCCTCCAGACTACCCGAGCTACGGGACAAGTAAAGAACAAATGTTGAGATGATTCAACGTCTCTACAAAAGGAGCATTTGGAATTTCCAGACCAACTTCTTTTTTTCATGACCTTTCTAGTCAGAATGGCATCTTGAAACAACTGCCAGAGGAAAATCTGAATTTTCAGGGGTATCTTGGCTTTCCAGATCCATCTGAAGTCGCATCCTGCCAGCTGCCGCTCCAGGTAAACATAGACTGATTTAGTAGTGAACTTATTTTTGTTCCCAAGTGCCCAACACACCATGTCAGGCTCCATTGACACCGGCCATGACTTCACAACTTCTCTCTTTTCAATCCATTGATTAACAAGAGGAGGGTGCAACCGTCTCCTAAAGAATTCATCACCCACACCGTTTCTAAATTCAGCCACTGTGATCTCTTGGTAATTACAAATGCCAAACAAGGCCGGGAAACGATCTTGCAAAGGAGGTTCGCCTAGAATGTTGTCACTCCATAATCTAGTGATGTTACCAGATTTCATGATCACCTCTCTGCCTGCCAAATATATCTCTTTAACTTTCATAATGGACTTCCAGCTTGGGGAATCCCCAAATTTACATTTCACCGAGGAGACCGTGTCATTCTTCAAATATTTGGCTCGAACCACATCTTGCCACAGACCATGCTGTGTTTCCAGTTTCCACCACCATTTGGTGAGGAGGCTGATATTCTGTCTGTGCAGGTCTTTAACTCCCAACCCTCCTTTATTTTTGGATCTACAGATTCTAGACCATTTCACCAAGTGGTATCTCTTACGACCACTAGTTTCCTGCCAAAAAAACTTTTTCATGTTCTTGTCCAACCTCTCAATGACCTTTTTAGGGAGCATGAACATCGACATGTAATAGTAAATGATGCTAGTAAGGGAAGAGTTAAGGAGAGTCAGCCTCCCCCTCGAGGAAGCCGCATTACCCATCCAGGACTCACAACATTTAAGGAACTTATCATCTACAAAACTCCAGTCAAGAGCTCGAAGGGTGGAGAAACTTACAGGCACTCCCAAATATTTCATACACTACTGGAATCAGCTACTTTGCCATCTGCCAGCACTTTGCCGTCAGCTAGCAGACGGCAAAGAAGCTCTTTGCCATCAGCTAGCCAAAAGCAGACGGCAAAGAACTGGCTGATGGCAAAGAAAGCCTTTGCCATCAGCCTGTTC